ATTAAAATATATCCCTTTGCTTTCAGAGTATCGGGTATAAAAAAATTTCAATCCGAATGCTTTTAGCTTACATATTCCTACACATAATTATTTTATTAAGCCAGACCTACATATAGCATTTTATAGCTAGACATGGCGATACGAAGGTCGCGTCTCAATCAATGGAAAAATCCCACTCAGGTATTAGCTGACTTCGTACAAGGTATTCAGTAAATATGTGATTTTTTTATTCAGTTGTGTTGTAACGGATTTGTCAAGATATGTAATGAGTTTCGTTTTTTCTGTGGCTGATGAGTAATTTAAAATTGGTTCAGGTTTCATGACTGTCTTCCTTTTTTGTTGGATACTCCAAAAATAGTTGCCCATCATATAGTGATGCCGAACGCCTTGATACAGGCATTCCACCGATTTCAATTCTTGGTGAAATCTCTCTTCGTGTTCAAATATCTAGCAGAACTACTCAATATTTAATATGTAAGAAAATATATTCACTAAGTTACTCAATTCCATTACATTTAATAAGAAATGCAACATTTGTAGGATTTCGTATTTTAAAGAAAGTTGGAACTGAGGCAGAGGTACAACAGGACAGGAATTTAGCTCCATAGCTAGGAATATGGAGAATCAAAACGAGAATAAAATTACAAGTAATTGTCCAATGTTTTCGCTCAAATGTTTGCCATTGGAACAGTAACATACAGAACGCAAATGCAATTTTGAGAGATTTGGTCAAAATTCGCATTAAAGATTGTCAAATTGTTATTTTAAATATGACAAGATGAATATGAATTAATGCAGGGTACTCCATTGGTCGACATTTTGGAATGACTCAAATTCCGTTTCGGTTATTTTGTTGTTTAATTCTTATAATCCGCTCATGTAACTGAAATTAATTTGATTGCTGATGTTGCCTCAACTGCTTCATTAATCAAAAGCGCTGGGGACGCTATGTCTGTGGCGTCTGTCTCCTAGAACACTTCTGTCGCCTCATGAATAATTAAATATGGAACATAGTTCTCCCAATTCCCAGATGGGGTGTTAGAATGGGTGTTGTGCTGGGTGTGGGACTGGGACCGGGACCGGAGTCTGTCTAAAAACTTATCCATCAAATTCCAATTGCGTTGATGCGGGTTTACAGCACTTTCCCTCATTTATTTGTCTTTAGTCTCTGCCTGGCCCCCCCACTAGCACCACTTTGTGCATCCACTTGTTACGGTTCAGTTTTTGACATTCGTCAAAAATTGTGTCACAATTTCAGCAGCCACGAGGCGGCCAGGCATGTTTTGTGGGCTAAAAGTTTAACTTAAAACTCCAATGCTGATGCAAGCAGCACCTGAACGAATCCCGTACAAAGGTGGTCAGGCTTTCTGGTTGGAATAACTTTTAGCTTACTTTGCGAAATTAATCACAGCGACCTGGGGCATGGATGCTTAGGCGTGAGAGAAGCGTGTTAAAAATCAATAGAGTGAGAGAAAAACATCAAAAAATAATTATAATTCAGATTTTCAAGCAGATCTTTGAAGCAAATCACTTCCAAACCGAATCCTATAACACCGATTAAAGAAGATATAATAACGACTTAGACTAAAAGAATGCCGCAAAAAATTATCAATTTTGGATTTCCCAATGTGTTTTGAGGTCCGGCTGACAGCAGGATTCCTTAGCTTTATAATAAAAAAGATTTTTAAAACATAAAGTAACTTAATGCTCGAAAAAATATTATCAATCTTTCTTCGAAAAAACATATTACAAACGATGAGAAATATTGTCAGTCGCTTCTGTTGCCGCGGCTCTACCGACTGAGTAGTCAGTATATTTGCATGGCAGCTTATGATTTTTGTGGAATTTTGAATCTACATCTTCATTGCGTTTTCAGTTTTCTCGTACCTTTAAAATTGTCCATGCCACAGATTTTTGTTCTTTGTCGTGTCGGAAGGGGGCGGGGCAACAACAAACAGAATTAGGTGGTTCTAGGTTTTATAGTCTCCAACAACTGGGCGACAAAAAAGACAGACGGACGGACAGACAGACAGAGACTTGGCTATTAATGCTGATCAAGAATATATATACTTTATGGGGTCGGAAACGTTTCCTTCTCTGCGTTGCACACATCCACTTTAACCACAAATCTAATATACCCCTTAACTCTTCACGTACGAGTATAAAAATATTAAAATTGTGAAGGAAACGATGATGCAAAATTCATGTTAAAATTCATTCTCTGAATTCCAACGTACGTAGGCAACGATACAGAAACAATGCCAATGTCTACACGATTGCCGAATCTGGATCAGATTCGATTAATATTAAAGACAGAGCGAAGAAATTCATTTTTTTTAGTTGCTACGCTGAAATGTTTGCTAACATCAAACCAGTTATTTATCCAAGAATCTTGAGAAGGGGGGCCGGATTGTTTTCCCTGGTAAAATAAATACCGCAACCCTGGGTACGCCCTTGGACGACTCCTTTTATTATAGGAAATTTTTAATTTTGAACGACCAATCTAAAACATCTCTGTATTAATGAGCAATACATATGTCGAGCCACTGAGCTTCTTCAGTAGCGTAGTTTGTCAGATTGTTAAAGAGACGATGATTGTTCAGTATTATAAATTGTATTATGTTAAACTATCCAGCGACAGACAGCGATAGCGAAAGATGTGCGGATGCAATAGCGAGAGTTCACGATGGTTCAATTAATCGGTTCAAGACGGGTTCGATTGAAGACGCGGGGTCGGTTAAAGACCATGTCAGATTGAAGATCAGGTCCATGATATGCAAGAGGTAAGTGCTAGATCAAGGCTATTCAAGGGCAGACTGGCCGAATTGGCCGTGCTCTAATGCGAGTGAGAGAGCAACAGATCGAGAGAGTGATAGCGACGGCGAAAGAAAGCAAGGTGCGAAACGAAGAAGCGAGAGAGCTGCTGCACAGGCTACTGCCGTGCGGGAGCGCATTCATGAAAATGGAAAACCATACGAGGGATTTACTGTACTGCTGCACCACTGACATTACCCTTTGTATTACTGCTAGTACTGCTAATAAGCAAAATTGTATAAGCTGACCAAATTGGTGCCCCACCCACATTTTTCTCCATAATTTCCCACATTTACAAGCCAGTATTGAAGAATCTGAATAACATGTACTCCAAAAGGAGATTATGTTAGCTAATAATTTGCTTTTTATTCCGAACTAGCAGACCCGCGCGCTACGCTGCTTACTTAATAAATTTAATTTTTAGGAATTCATCGAAATTAAACAATGATAATCAAAAGCAACAAATATACTTACACAATTGCAATTTTTTCAGAAAACAATTCATACAAAAAGATATAAAAACAAAATCTATCATAAAATGTTCTGTTCTACAGAATGTCACAAAATGAAATGAAATATTCGTTCAAACACACACTTTTAGACCAAATTTAAGATTTTTTTGATTAAGTTTTATTTCTTGAGGAACCTTTTTATAGAAAACACCAATTTGTTGTGCAAATCATGCCACATTCTCTGGCTATCGTGCATGCGATTTTGTGCACGCGTTGCGGAAATAGGGAATCGAAATCTCCAAACATGGCTACTAACATTTGTTTATTGTTCTTTTTTTTATGTTTGTTGTGTCAGTGAGTGTCATCACCGCTGTTACCATTTTTGTTTTACTTCTTCTCGTATTTTTTGTTGTTATTTGCCTGGCTAACCGTTCGATGGGGCGGGGCATATCCAGCGGGATGGGATAGAACCTGCATACAATTTGGATACCACCAGGGGCATGTCCGTATTTCTGTGTCAGTTGCCAAACACGAGGTGGGTGGTCGAAAGGGGGCGTGTTCGGTTGTCCCTGTCTCTTTTGTTGATTTTTTGAATTTTTTCTCGTTTTAGGCACTTGTTTCTCCCCTCATTCCCCCCGTTTGCAACCAGCCTTTCTCCATGAACCAATTTTTTAAATTAGGTGGAGTTCCGTTTTATTCCTGGTGCTGTGATTTCTGACTTGGATGGGCGCCGTCAGCCGCTTGGAAACGGAGAACAAACCCCAAACCAATACTTAAACCGCAAAACTGATTCGTTTTATGAATTTTTTAACCAAAATATGAGAATTAGGCCATAAACCTAACAGCACAAATCCATCTCATTTGGTCCTACTGCATATGTATTTATCAGTGTGAGAAGTGTGAGGCATAAGACAGTGACGAGAGACGGAACGGTGGTCTGGGCTGGAGAGAGACTAGGAAAATAAAGAGATTTTCCTATGGCCGTGCTAAAGGTTTAGGGTTTACTTCATGAATTTCATTGGATTTCTGCTATCCATTCTCTGGAGTCCATTGTCGGTGACCGTATCCAAGTTGGACACTGCGCACTTGGCACTCAATATGCAACTATCCTGAGGCAAACGGCTCCTATCAGCTGGCTGGTGACCGGGGACCAAGTCAACCAATTTGGAACGGACATTAACTCGAATTATTTTCGTCCTCCCCTCACATTCAGTCAATTCCCATCCCGGAAGCACCGAGACATACCATTTGTATAATTGATGCAACAGAAGGGTAAGCAGTGGATGGGTGGACAGCACCTGGGGACATGTAGTCTCGATTAACAGGCCAAAAAGGCCCATGACAAACCGCAAAACGAAGCAAACAGCGCAGGAATAGAAGATTGGGATTAGAGGTGAGGCAAACGATTTGAGAGGGATTGTTGACGAACGCATTGCAGCCGTTAAAGAATTTCTTAAATTTCGTTTTCTATTTTTGAACACTTAATTTTCCCTCATTAGTTTGGTATTTTTTTTCTGGTCGCGCTGCGTCGCACTTTTGAGATTTTTTAGTGTTAAGAAAAAAAAGTGTTAAGACAAAAGCAGAACATGATGGACATGTTGGCTGCGTAAAAAAAGAAGAATTTTTGATACAGTCCACTTTGGAAATAAAGCATTTGTGTTCCATGAACATCGAAGGGTTTTATTCGTCACCATATTGTTGGTCCTTCAACCGGGATAAGCTTATTGTTTAAAAATGGAAGACTTCAAGCTTGTGAAATCAGCAAGAAGCCGTGCGAAGGCAAGCATCACGCGTTTGCTAACGGCGTCACAAGATCCACGTGCGGGATCAAACTTGGAATTGGAGCAAATAACCGTGTTATTGGAGAGGCTCAATACCGTTTGGAAGGAGTTTGAGACTCTTAGCGACAAAATGGCCCTTTTTGATGAGGAGGAGGGGTATGTTGATCCAGCCATCGACAACGAGACCTACGAAGACAAGTACTTGCGTGCAAACACATTACTACACTCGCTAAAACGCGCTTGTATGCTAAGGGAGAACGAGGGAGGAAACATCGCCAGCGGCAACCATAACGACAGTGAGAGCCCATGGGGATCACAAGCATCGGGATCAGGAAACGAAAACTTTGTTCGTTTTTTACAACAACAACAAGAGCTGAACGAGCGATTGGCGCAACAACAAACCACGTTTTTGAGCGCAAATTCGACAGCAAATAGGGTGCAAAGCGAATTGCCAAAAATACACATCAAGCAGTTCAATGGTGACTACAAGGAATGGCCTGCTTTCATGAACCTCTTCGAAAGTACGATTCACAGCAATCAGCATTTGACAGCCATTCAAAAATTGCACTACTTGAAAACATATGTTATTGGAGAAGCAGCTGATTTGATACGACATATGCCAATAACAGAAGCAGCTTATACTGCTGCTTGGACTTGCCTAACGGAGCGTTACAACCGACCACGTCACATTGTAAATACTTTGCTGGACACATTTGTGAATTTACCTTCGACATCCAGAGCAGACGTTTCAATTCTACGTAAGGTGACAGATGGAGCAACGGAGATTGTACGCGGCTTGGATGCAGCAGGGCAAACTAATAGGGACTGCTGGATTATACATTTCATGCTGGCCAAAATTGACGCTGAAACCCGACGCAAATGGATTGAAGGAAGTCGCGAGCTGGAATCGCCAACTGTAAACGACTTACTCAAGTTCTTAGACCGGCGCTGCGAGGAATTTGAGCTAAGCAAAAGTGAGACTGACACAGACTTCAAGGTTGGTGCACAACAAAACAAAGCCAAGCGATCGTCACACGCTATGGTATCGCTGGAAGAAGGTGCTTGTGTAAAATGTAACTCCAAGGAACACAAGATCTACATTTGTCCGCAGTTTGGTGACTTATCAGTCGAGCAGAGACGAACATTCGTTAAAGCTAAGTCATTGTGCTTTAACTGTCTCAAGCTTGGGCATGTGTCACGAAAGTGTGAATCAAAATTCACATGCAAGTTTTGCCATACTCGTCACCATTCTCTACTACATATAGAAAATTCTACTTCGCAGGCTGCTGCAACCAGGGCACAGCCAAGAAGTGACGAGCAGCGCATCCTCAGCACTCCCGAAGAGGCAACAGTGGCCATCAGCCACGTCGCACGTGCGCAAGTTACTCCAAGAGCTGAACCCTCATACAACGGATCAGCAACTGCTACAAAGCCACACGGGCTTCGGAAAAGCGCATTGCCAACAGCTCTAGTGTTCGTTCGAAACGCAAAGGGATCGCACACTATCTGTCGGGTGCTTTTGGACAGTGGCTCGGAACTGTCATACATCTCGGAACGGTGCATACAGGCACTTGGCCTGTCACGTTTTCCATCACGTATTCTGGTCTCGGGAATTTCATCTATAAAGGCTGAGACAACTAGAGGCTGCAGCACACTGGACATGCAGTCAAGGATCTCAGAGCACACAATGAAGGTACGCGCTCACGTACTCAGCAAAATCACCTCTACATTGGCAAGACACGATATTGACGCTGCAGCACTAAGGGCTTTCGATGGCTTCGATCTCGCAGATTCTGAATATCAATCGTTAGCGCCAGTGGATATTCTTTTGGGCAGCGATTATGTGTGGACCGTGTTCACCGGCCAAAAGATGTTCGACAGCCACGGGAACGTCATTGCCATTTCGACAATTTTTGGATGGGTCATAACTTCTATTACGACCAGCAACTCATCATCTACAATGACAATGCACACGGCTATTGACATTGACGCATCGCTTCGACGCTTTTGGGAGCTGGAGGATGTCAACCAGGAATTTCAGCGGGAACCAGAGGACGATGAAGTTGAGCAACACTTTATGAAGACACACACTCGGGACTCCAAGGGGCGTTACATCGTCGAGCTTCCGTTCAAAGATCCTAATCAACAGTTTTCGGATACACTACACGGAGCACTCGCAAGATTCAGGGGTGTTGAACGTCGCTTGGAGCGAGATCCCGACCTGCACGCACAGTATGTACAGTTTATGCGTGATTATCTTAATTTGGGTCACATGCGAGAACTATCGCCAGAAGACATTGACAAGAAGCCATGCTTTTACTTGCCACATCATCCCGTAATTACACAAAAATTAAGGGTGGTTTTTGACGGATCGTTTAAGGATACTAGCGGAAAGGCCTTGAACGACGCCCTGCACATTGGACCCAGTATTTTGCGAAACTTATTCTCAATTTGTATACGTTTCAGAATGTTTAAGTTCGTCTTTTCTGCAGATATAGTCAAAATGTATCGACAAATCTGGGTGGCTGTCAATCATTGCAGTTACCAGCGCATTGTATGGCGAGAAGATGAAAGCACGCCTATCAAGCACTATGAGCTCTCCACAGTAACATACGGCACGTCTAGCGCACCATTCTTGGCAGTGAGGGTCCTGGATCAGCTTGCTCACGACCATCAACACGAGTTTCCCACTGCAGCTAAAATCTTAAAGGAGGAGTTTTACATGGACGACGTACTCACGGGAGCATACACAGAGGAAGAGCTTATTTGCAAGCGAGATGAATTAATTCAGCTAATGGAACGTGCAGGCATGGAGCTTGGCAAATGGGTCTCCAATTCATCACGCATTTTTGTCGGAACTCTTACTTCAACCAATACTCCAGGCAAGGGACTCCATTCTACAGCAAAGGTTCTTGGCATTCACTGGGATCCAGAAAAAGATAATTTATCGTACAACGTTTGCCTTTCATCGAATCCGGACAGCAACAAACGACAAGTGCTGTCGGACGTGGCACGCATCTTCGATCCACTGGGTATTCTGTCGCCTGTGGTGGTGCAATTTAAAATTATGTTTCAGGAATTGTGGTTACTCGATCTCGACTGGGATACGGAACTTCCTCCGAAAATTGCGGATTGGTGGAAGAAATGCCGTAACGACCTAAATGTACTCCAGGAACTTCGTCTTCCACGATTTGTTGACAACAAGGAGGATCGCATCGAACTGCATGGATTTTCAGATGCTTCCATTAAGGCATACGCCGCAGTCGTCTACAGCAGATTGGTACAGGCAAATGGCACCGTATCTGTTTCACTCATCGCAGGAAAAACCAGAGTTGCTCCGCTGAAGCAGCAGTCACTACCGCGCCTCGAACTGTGTGGCGCTCTGTTGTTGAGCCGACTGATCGTATCTATCAAGGCTGCTCTACAGCATAAGAACATTGACATACATGCATGGTGCGACTCAACTATAGTTCTGGCTTGGCTTTCACAGCAGCCATCGAAGCTTAAAACATTTGTTGCAAACAGAACGTCAGAAATACTCGATGCTATACCACGCAATGCATGGCATCATGTAAATACAAAGGAAAATCCTGCTGACTGCGCCAGCCGAGGCATGCTCGCTGCAGAACTGCTCAATTTCGACCTGTGGTGGATGGGACCTTCATGGCTGCAAGATCCAGAAAAACTCGCGGTAAAGCTGAGCTCTACAAAATTCTGTTCTTCCCTTTCGGAAAACTATGGCAACGAAGAAGTGAAGACCACCGCATTGACAACTCAGGAAGACGACTCATTTTCACCGCTCGAAGCACTGGTGCAACGCGTCTCGTCCTGGACAAAACTGGTTCGCATTGTAGCCTACGTCTTGCGCTTCATCCAAGGGACCAGGGCCCCTAAATCAGGCATGTTGGCAAGTAGCAAAATGCTGAAATTCGAGGAGATCCAGGCGGCTCGCATTCTTTGCCTACAAACGGCTCAGGAATGTTTCAAAGAGGATCGAATTCTGCTGCTGGAGAACAAGCCACTTCGGAGCCGCTCTCAGCTGCTCAAGCTCTCACCGATTGTATGCAAGAATGGCCTCCTACGAGTTGGTGGACGACTGAGCAATTCTCAATTACCAGCTGATGTCAAACACCCTATACTGCTTCCGAAATCGCACCGCATCACAATACTGATTTTGGAACATGAACATGCATCAAACCTTCACCCAGGCGTCTCTGCTCTCTTTGTTATTATGCGTCAAAAATATTGGATTTTTGGTGCGCGTAATCTTATAAGAAATCTAGTCCACAACTGCATAAGATGTTTTCGCCAACGTAATCACACAGAGCACCAATTCATGGCCGATTTACCAGGCATTCGTATCACCGAAGCTCTGCCCTTCCAGCACTCAGGCTGTGACTACGCTGGACCATTTATACTAAAGGAAAGGAGAGGACGCAATCCTCGAAAAACTAAGGGCTACATATGTTTGTTTGTGTGCCTTGTAACATCAGCCATACACCTGGAATTGGCCGCCGACCTGAGCACCGACACCTTCCTGGCCTGTCTTCGTCGATTTATGTCCCTCAGAGGAAAATGCTCCCAGATCTTCAGCGATAACGGAACAAATTTTGTTGGTGCCAAACGGGCACTAGATGAGATGCAGCAACTTCTATCTTCGCAGGAGCATCAACACACCGTAGCCCAATCGCTGGCCAACGATGGAATCAAATGGAGTTTCATACCGCCACATTCGCCACACTGGGGAGGGAAGTGGGAGTCATCCGTGCGTTCCGTCAAACTGCACCTTCGTCGCGTTGTAGGAAAGACGACGTTAACCTTCGAACAAATGCAAACTCTAATTGTTCAGATTAGTGCGGTTGTGAACTCTCGACCGTTATGCTATACACCAGACACAGACCTCACATACTTGTCGCCAGCCCATTTTCTAATTGGTCGCCCATTCACAACAATCCCGGAAGGCGATCTATCTCATTTGCCAATCAATCGCTTGGACTATTGGCAGCACTTGCAAGCAATGTACCAAGGATTTTGGAAGCGCTGGCATCAAGAATATTTAACATCCTTGCAGCAACGTCACAAGTGGAACAACAAGCAACGCAACATCTCAGTTGACAATGTGGTACTTGTCAAGGACTCCAATCTCCCACCAGCAGCTTGGATTCTAGCCCGTGTATTGGAAGCTCATCCTGGACCAGATGGACTTGTTCGCGCCGTGAAGCTTAAGACATCTACCGGAGAAATGACCCGACCCATCAGCAAGCTAGCAGTACTACCTAATTCAGAAACTATGTTTCAGGGCGGCCCGGGATGTTGACGAACGCATTGCAGCCGTTAAAGAATTTCTTAAATTTCGTTTTCTATTTTTGAACACTTAATTTTCCCTCATTAGTTTGGTATTTTTTTTCTGGTCGCGCTGCGTCGCACTTTTGAGATTTTTTAGTGTTAAGAAAAAAAAGTGTTAAGACAAAAGCAGAACATGATGGACATGTTGGCTGCGTAAAAAAAGAAGAATTTTTGATACAGTCCACTTTGGAAATAAAGCATTTGTGTTCCATGAACATCGAAGGGTTTTATTCGTCACCAGGGATACCCTTACAAACACACAGGTATAGAAATTATTCTATCAGCCATAGCCTCAGATTTAAATGTGGCTTGGTTTTCGGATATTTACCAACACTGACACAGATCAGTCGGCTGCTGTTTATTGCTTTCCAATACTGCTGAAAAACACTTAACACTTAACACTTAAGTTTTAAAAACGATTTCCCATTTTCATTTAGGGGTTTCCACACATTAATAATGAAATAGGTCGTAATTCACAAACCTAGCAGTGGCTTTGCACTGATTACACTGCATTATTTCTTTCCCGCTTCCATTTCGGGATTTATCCAACATCCTTCAAGTCATCGCCCAAGACTACGCCCGAGAAGAGTGTAGTGTAGTGTAGTGTTTGTCGGCATGTTGTGTCTGCTCGAGACCAAAGGCCTGAAATCATTAGAACGACATTGAAGTCAGTGCCTGACCAAGCAGCCGTTGCTGTTGGGCGGCAAGTCACAAACTGAATTCATTTTCGAAGGCAACTGGCTTCGATTGCCTTTTCCCCCTACGAGCCTACACACACATGCGTGTGTGTGTGTTGGGCTGGCGCCTGTTCTCGGTTTAAGCATTCTTAGGGATTCCTCAAATGATTCCAAATGGAAACGAGGCAGGGACACATTTCATTAAATTTCATTCCAACAGAGAAAGTCCAGATGGGAACGGCTTTTGTGTGTCTTATAGTAGTGTGGACGAGTGTGTGTTGTCTGAAGGCTGGTGTATTTGTATTTTTCGTATCTGCCCCTTGGTGATTGCCCCAGTGAAAGTGAAAGTTGGTATTCCCTTCTGCGTCTGGTCGTTTTGGCCAGGCCCTGGCAGATTATGAATTGGCGATTATGCTAATGAAGCAGCTGGAATGAAGAGATCCCGAGAGCACACGCACGGCATCCTTTCGCTTTTCCTTGTCCCCCTGCGCATCATTGTTATGTGCATAAATAATGTTGTGTGGGACAAACGACAAAACCCGCGATGACTCTTCAACCAACTCTCCCGCCTTTAAATGATTTTATTACAAGTACATATTTGACTTAAGTTTTCGGTGCTCCCATTTTAATTAGACAGTTTCAGCAGATTTTTACTTCCTCTACTCTTTATTTTGGTTGCGCTTTTCGCGTATTTTTCCTCAGAGCCTTTCCTCAAAGGGGCGTATGCTGTAGAAAACCCAAAAATAAAAGGAGAACAAACCCAAACAATAGCTAACAAAAAATAAATACCAAAACCAAAGCTCTAAGTATGAAAATAAATAAGTTCGTCTACAGTTTTTCTTTCATTTTATGTCGGAGGTGGTCAGGAGATATCCCTCTGCTGTGGAAGGGCGGAACAGTCTCGAACAGTCTCGAACAGTGTGGATAGCTGGAGGAAAGCTGAAGGGTGAATGGCAGTTACTGGACGGAGCCAAACTGTGGACGCAGCCTTCTCTCTGCTTTCATAACGAAAAAGAAGCAGCAGATTGAAAATATGCCATGAAAAGTATGCAAAAGTTTTTTTCCGCTCCCAGCTATTACCCCCCAGTCCCCCAATCCCATACACCCACATCACACTGCTCAATCCAGCATCCTTTGCTGGCTTTGTAGTATAGAAAAATAAAAAGTGCATCAAAATAAATCGAGTCCAAGTTGGGATGAAAGAGTCGGGAAAGGAAGGAGGTTTTGGGTTTCGTTTTGGGTCCTGCCATAAGGGGAATGGTGGTGGATGGGGGATAGTGGAAGGGTGGCTTGAGTTGCAAACAAATTGCTCGAAAGTATGCAACAAAAATTTCAATTGTGTAAGAGCTAAGCCGCAAATGAAATTGCCCCAGGACTCACTCCCTGTGAGTGTGTTTGCTCAGCTTCTTCATGCGTTCGAGTGTGTGTGTGCGCGCATGTGTGTGTTCATTCACCGTTTACCTGCGGGCACTTTTTGCGGCACACCCAGCCAGACTCACGTATATACACCGCAAAAAAAAGGGGTAAGTGCTACTATCAGAGCTACTACTGTAATTTCTTGCGGTTTAATCCATAATATGTACATATAATCATAATTTAGATGTTCTTTGCTGAATATAATATTATATACATGGTAAAGTACATCATTTATTTATTGTATAAAGAAAAGCAAGAAGTTCCAGCTGATCACAAGTTCCTTTAACTCACATAGCAAATAGTATCTGATAAGCGAATGTTAGTATGTCGTATATGTAGTATGTATTGTATGTTTTTTGTTTCCATCTCCTTCCCCGTAACACTGTAGTAATCTAAGACGTACATAGGTAGTGGAGGAGAACTTTCCTTCTAGCCATTTATTCTGTCAGTGTACATGAAAATAATTGAGCTGTGTGCGCGTGTGAGTGTACTCATTGGATATTAGTTTTGTTGTTGCACGGCTCTAATCGGATCAGCAAGCTAATTTACATGCAATTCAATCAGTGGCGCATTGTCCTGCCCTACTAAGTATGCAACAAAAGTTTGCAGCTGCCAGTGTGTGCATTTACATGTGTATGTGTATCATCAGTATTTTTGGCAAATGCTATTCCCTTTCAAAGTGATTGAGGAGTGGAAGTGAATATGAGGCCGAAGCTGAGGCGTAGGGCGGGTAGGCTGGGCAGGCTGGGCAGGCTGAGACTGGGTTGATGCCTAATCCTACATAAAGGCAGCCTGTAAGCTGCATCTTTGTTTGGTTGGTTGGCTGTCAGTTGGCGTGTCATCAATAATCAGGTACAGTGACAGCCCCACTGTTCTGATGTTCATTCGATGTCTACTCGTTGAAGGTATTTTGATTTGGAAGCCCTCGAACAAAATCGGTTCGATTATATTTGAAAATTTCCGACGTTCCCATCTTTGGCCTGACTTTCCACTCAATTCCACTCGACACACAAAACATGTTCATTTTGCAGTCATTCATCATTCGGCTTCTTTTGTGCTCCGCAGGAATCCCGTCACTAGTGCAGGAACGGTTGCTGAAGGTGCACATAGCTGGGGATATTGAAAGAGAGACGCACGCAGTTCATAAAGAATTAATTAAAATTGAGCCAATGGCAGCGTGACAAAAAAGATATATGAATATGCCTACGAGTGCGTATGTTTGTAGGCATCGATTATTTACTGCATTGGCTGGGCACCTGCAATTGCTGGCTATTAATTAAATCGGGCACTTGACAATTGAGCATTGCGATATGGGCTGGTTATGTAATAGAGAAGAGAGTATGCCATCAGGGGCTGCCAATTCGAACCGATTTCCGATGTCTCTTCGAAGACATTTCTCCCACTTGTGTGCCAACACAAAACACTGGTAATGCCCAATTTATTAGGGCCTTTCATAGTAAAATTCCAGCAGGATGACATCCATTCATATTGATATTCAATATTCGAGGGTGGCACAAGTTCCTCTCGCCCCACCAGGATTATTTTCTGGATGAAGTCCAAGCACAATACCCACAGATCCCCCTTTGCTAGAGCAACGCATAGTCGCCTTCCCCCTCTTTAGCCGTTAATACTATGCTTCACATATTGAATGATACTTTGACTGTTTTGCAGCTGCACTCACGTGGATGTAATTCTATCCGCACAAGCAAGCACACACACGTGTCTGCAGGCATATGTCTGAGCACTGCATAAATGTTATTTATTCATTTATTTAAAATATACATTTTATTTGAAGCGCGTTTCTCGATTTGCAGCTTGAAAAATTAATTTTAATCCGCTGAATGCGTTCGTCGATAGGATCACAAAGAGAACGAAATTCACAAAAATAATGTCGTTAGTGCGACTTTGAGATGGACTGCAACTGAGAATTGACTTGAAGGAAGCCTTTTGGACAGCCAAACGACAGAATTACCCTAAGCCAAATCTAGGCTATCAACGGGGCACAGTAAGAGGGACATAAAAATGCCAGCAGCGGATAATCACGACAACAGAAACAATGCGAAACAGCATCACAATCTGCCTACGGTCGATGGGTCACAAGCCAAGACGACAAAAGAACAAGGAAGTGACCACAGTCCTGACAGTTTTCCGTCTGTGGGGATGTCACTGCCTTCTGGCGGTGAAAGGTGAACAGCTGCATGCAGTTGAATGGAACTCTTACTCTCTCCATGTGTCTGCTGCTCCGCTTATACAATTTTCTATGCACAAGCGTGATCACCGTTTCCCCATGCTGGATGTGAACATTTCCATTTGCATGGTCTGCGGCTTCCCTCGACAGCCCCTATGCCCGCATCCATTACACACTTTCATATTCGCTTAAATATGTAATGCAAAGGTCTGCCCCCCCCATCCGCTCCACCAGCTGATACATAAAGAACAAAAGCAGACGAACGCGCGGTAGCTGCAGGATGGGGCGCTCTGAAGGTAATAACAGTGCAAATATGTAATTACTAAAAAATTTATGTTTATTCATGTGGCTGCGTCTGCGGCTGTGGCTGTGGCGGCGTCCGCGCTACAAAATCTGTTTTCTATATTTTCTATCCACCATAATGAGACCTACAAAGGATCGTAAAGAGAGGGAAGCGGAAATGGATGCAGGAACGGCGGCTGTATGTGCGACTGTGTGGGTAAATAATTAGATATGCCGCTGGGCTTACCAGACTGTGAATAGAAATCTAAACACAAGCACGAGTCATCTAAACACACACAAAAGATATGCCGGAGAAGCAGCTCATCCTACGGGTCCACAGACAGTGGTTCAACGTGGGAGAATGAACCGTAGAGCCTAATCTGATTAAACTGGAGCTAAATAATTACC